AATGTTTTTAGTTTGCCCTTATGAACATCTACCGCAAATTCGATGGTGGACTTGTACTCCTTTCTTGTATGACCTCTGCATTGTTTGTGAACTCGCTACTGCAGGTGACATTTTACTTGGAAATAAGAATGAATGAAAAACTTCTCTTCCGGGAGTAGTTATGCTCTTTTGCTTTAACAGTATCGAATGCACGCGACGCGGTCCTCGATGAACCGTGGGACTCGGTCACTGCATAACATTGTCGCTACACGCTACGCGTATACGTACGTAAAAAAGTAATCGTTCAAGAGAAAACATTAACATACATATTCTTAATATATTCAGTTTTACCTTGTACAGAATACATTTGAGCCATACTCTGTGAATCTTCGCAGCGATATGCATATGTAATTTGTATTTATGCAATTACTCCTATTTACGTGTAACTTGAATTGTGAAAAATTCCATTCCTTTGTTCCATGTTTATGGCCTTTTGCTCTTTTTTCTATTTATACTTAACGTTCCTCCACGAATAGGAAAGACCGTTTTAATTAACGTATAAAGAAGTTTTTACATACCAAATTTGTTACTAAACTTGCTATCAGCTTAGTGAAAATATTAGCAACAATTATTAAATACGAAATGGATTTTAGGTTAATATATTATTTATTGACTTACGGAATGTAATTTTAATTAAGAAATTCTTGTATAGTTTGTTAATAACGTCACTCAATACTCCATTGAAAAATGGCGATAGTACTTTCGTTGTTTTATAACATCGTGCAAACCGTAAATATGAATATTCGTAACATAATCCATAATGTAATCGTAATATAAATTCATAATATAATTGTGAATCATTTTCGAAAACAAAAGATTTCATGGAACGTGTATTTAGAATCAAATTTTCTTTGCAAACTACACATTTGGAAAACATTTTGAAAGTGGAAGAAGATAAATGTTTATCGGGGTAGAAAGCGTACCTGTGATGCCATGATCGAGTGAAACGTAATTCGAATCGCTTGAAATTGAATTAACGAAAGTTGACTGAAAGCTGGAACCGGAAGGGAAAACTATGCTGTATCTTATTAGTCGCACTTTACCATAACTAATTAAGGGGCTTTTTAATTTAATTTCGATTATGTTCACTCCTGCGGAAATTAGTACGAATTATACAAGCAGCGCCGCATGGCATAAAATCGTCGAACTAATGATTTACTCGGAAGAACTTGTTGCACATTTCGTGAGATGGCGCGCTGTGGCACTTGTTAAACAACACAGGTACACTGGTACACTGTACTGAGGTACACAGTATATCTGACACGCGATATATTTACATATATATTTATTGTTAGACAATGATGCAAAGCTAAAAATAATTTAAGAATGAAATTATAACAGCTAAACAATATGTAAAATTTATAAACAAAGTTGGCTATCAATAGATATATAATATTATTTCGCTAGTGTGTATTTTCTATTAATTTTTAACTTTAAAATAAATTTCGTTTGAATTGTTATTAATCTATATTTCATAGTAATTTATAAATTTTCTCGATTTATTCTAAGCAAATATTACATACATATACTATAGATATTACTTTAATTCATTTATTCTCTTAATTATTTATATTATTGTATTTATTAAAGAGGAACATTATATTCACTACACTTAATTATAGCAATAATAATAAAAGAAGACTAGTGACGAACAAAATGTGATTAATATTAACGGTGTAGAAATGGAAGAGGTATCAAACCTTGAAAACTCTTTATAATTATCTGCCTTGAAATTGTTATAGTTTGATGATCACCACGAATTTTTCGACATATAATATTTCAATTTTGCGCGCGGCTTTATATGAAAGAGAAGCCATTTCACTCCAGCCAATCAGGTGTCACTTAAGTAAAGTTTTGGCGCGTACTGTCATAGTACGGGTGAAAATCGTGGTATCAACTTGCGTCGTTCTTTGAAGGGTGCGATTTCAACTATATAGTGTTTTTATTAGTATTATATCGTCTTTAATCGAGTATTATCAGGTTCGTTTAATTAATATGTTCTTATTTAGTACTTTATTAGGTGTTGTTAAACTGAAATTCTATAGTTTTTCCAATTTTCTCTGTTCATTCGTCGATCGGTTGAGTATCAGTGATACCAATACGTTGTATTACGAATTTTTGAAAGAGGATTTGAATTTGTTTCTTATTCCATTTTGACACAATTGATTCAGTTTCATATATTAATCCCAAATTTATGGTTATGATTTATGCAGATGGGCATTAGAGATGCGTAGACGAAAACAATTAACAGTGACAATTCGATGACATCTCATGCAAAACGATTTGGAAACGTTGGATTTACTTTAACAAAGATGGAGGTACATGTACGTATTGCTTTTTGATTCACTTGTAATATAATAGATATCCATTTAATATATAATATTATTAAACATTCAGTTTTTGTTATATTTATTCAAGAAATTTGAATAACCTTCATATTTCAATCATGAATTCTCGGTATTAATATCGCCATTAAATTTGTATGAACAGTTTTTATTATTTTTTAGATAGAGTTGTACGATATGCTGAGGAATGTTTTAGTTCAAGGTTAGGCGTGTTGTTATTGTGACCACATCGGGCATGTTTAACGAATATTGTTGCTGTCTATTATTACAGAGATTTTTTTTTTTTTTAACAAACTATCGATAAAGTAAAGAAGAAAAATATGTAAAATTTTCTTCTTTTTTCTCTCTTCTCTACCTCTTTTTACTAATACAATTTTACTTTCAGAAAATTTGTGTGACCACGCGCAGTCGGTAGAATCAATGTTTGCTTCGTAACTTCAAATTCTTCAATTCAATTGTCATATGCGAAATTAGAATCAGTGTTTGTTCGGAGACTTAATTTAAACGATACTTAATCGAAATGAACGCGTTAATAATCAGAATCTGGTATATCTAGTATCTGGTATCTTGGTATATTGTATCCTAATTTATTTAAATGATTTTGTTAACTTACAGATTTCAGATCGTTGTATTAGAGCTCCAATTTCTGTAATTATTAAAATTTGGAATGTTTATTTTTAATTTTTATTATTATTAAGGTTCTAAATTTAATAGAGTTTCATCTTCTATTATTTCAAACTTCTTAAATAATCAACACTGTGTTTTCAAAAACAAATTGTACTAATCTGCTACTTTTTTCAGGTTGTTTACAGTCTCCACTTCCTTATGCTTTCCAGAAGAAATCTGAGGGTGTTCAAGAAGCCAAAAATGTAAGTATTTTTGTAAATTGTACCTTAATTAATTTTAATTCTCACGTACTTTAATTATTATTGATTAAGAAATAAAATTTATATTAGAATTAGTCATATCTTTAAAATTAAAGTCTAATATTACATGTCTTGTTACAGACTTTTCACAACTTCCCATTTTCCTGTATGAGATTTGATCGTTCCTTCTTGATGATTGTTTTGGTGATGACTTCCTCTGAATTGCTGCATCATCGATGGCAACGTCTCCGCATCTTATCGTGAGTCGCATGTCTTTATATTCCTCTGGTCATACAATCATGTCGTAGGACGAAAGGTTCGAATCGATACGGACGACTGGTTGTATTACGTAGAATTTTTTTCGAGCACAGAGACCGCGGATATTTATTATATTCGTGAGTAGTAACATTATTTTTGTGTCTTATTTATTAGTTCAGGATAGATCTTCTTGCACAACGCGTTTTTTTTATGTTAGATATGACATTGAGGATTAAAACTTCAATATAATGTTGATCATTAGGATGAGTGATTTTTTTTTTATTTTATTTTATTTTATTTATAAGATACTTCTTCTACTGCGATTAGAAAGACTTGAGCTTAAATGTAAGTTTCAGCGGACAGAACAATTGCCACAGAAGAGGGCAACTACTAATGGCTTTCCATCCCCTGGTTTCTCCAGAACATGGAAAGTCATTTTCGGTATTACTTTGTCATTCTGCTTGTTTTTGGTAGTTGTGGTAGTACTCTTTTTTGGCCGATGTCGGTCCACCATCATATTGGCTAGATCGCTGATTGTTATCAGTGTCGCGAAGTAGTACTTATAGGTTGAGTTACAGTTTCGAAGTAATTTAAATTAAGATTGAATTAGAAAAATGTCAATTTTTGATTAACTTTATAGCGTTGCTATTTCTGGCTGTCTAGAACAGTTGAAGTAGCTATTATTGAATTTATTGTATGAATTAATATTTCGATACTTTTTCATTGCCACTGTTTCAATTACTTTTCAAGTTAATGTTGCCTTAATAAATAATCACGTTTTTTAGTAGCATTGCGATTATAAAGTGCCTAAATTTTTTCCACCTGCTGCAGCTAAAAAAGATGTACAGAGGTGGTTGTCAGCAGCCTTAACACGGCTGCACTGCACTTTCGTAATTAGTGTTGTGTATATTTAAACTCGAGTGCATAGATTAGTACTTATTAGCGTTGCGTAAAAGAATTTCCTGCTACAGTTTCAGGAGGTTTCTATTTTGTTTAATTTTTTTCATAATAAAATAATTAATATGGCAAACATACAGAACACTCTTAGCGGTTTACTCTGAATTTTCTACTGTGTATGTGATTACAGTAATTTAGTGTTGCGAAATGCGAAAGATATTCCACTCTCGGTTTATGTCTTGGTGCTTTCCTGGCTATTTATTCCCTTTTTCCCAACTCTCGTTATTGATATGACACTCATTTTAATAAGCCTCTTCAATTTAAATAGAATATAAGTATCACTTAAAACGTTTTATAAGATTATAAAGTTTTAAACAACAATTTTTATTACATCTTAATTTTGTTACTACGTTTGCTCTTCTTCAGCCATGGAATTATTGTCTTCTAACAATACTGTCGATCCTTTCAGAATGATCCTTACACTAACTACCTTGTAGTTATTACATTCTGAGAAGACGAGTTTCATTTTCTTTCTCGACGTCCTTTGTTTCATGAGACGCGACATCTTCAGTTTGTTCCACGACATTCGTGGAAAACACGGCTTCTGTCTGGTGACACCCGGAAATTCTTAGTTAATTCTCGTGATTGTAAATCGTTCCTCATGTTAAAGATAAAGGAGATAAGAAAATGTATCGGACGGAATACGTTATACCCTGGGTTCAGATGCGAGCGAGGGAGGAGTACATTCTAAAAGCATCTAGGCAATATCCCGTGGTAAGAGAACTTTCCAAACGAATTCGGAGAGTTTAATAATTAACGTCGAGAGCGGCAGTGCTCGCTGAACGTTCTATTCCGGGGGGGTAGTTCGTTCACGCTGAAACTGAGACAAGCCCGTGAGATACGGAAAAACCATTTCCCGCCGTATTCGGAAATCTATCACTCGGGATGAAATTTTCTTTCCAACCATTCGATACTGCTGCCTCGGATAATGATGCACCGGCTTATCTTGGATTAAGTATCAAACTGTCGTCTGCTGGTTTATAGGGTGATTTTTAAATGTACGTATAAATATTCCAGGGATAAATTCAATTAAAAAATATTGAAGGAATTATATAAATATCATAGGTTATTTGTGCTTGATTCTTTAAGTAAGAAGATATTTGACAAAATCATGGAAGTTTTTATGTCTTATAAGTATAAGTACCGCAATATGTTGTAGGTTTCATGATGTATGATTCATCTTATTGTTGTCAGACGAAAAGACATTTCAATTATAAATAAATTGGATAATTTCTTCTTTGTTTGAAAGATAAAACCTTGTTGTTCAATCCTCGTATACAAAAGTATTAATACGTATTTAATACGCACACCCTGTGCGTGATTCTTTGAAGACACTATTGATTTCAGTTGGAGCCGTTCGCTCTTCGAAATTCGATCACGTATTTTAACAACAAAAAAGAAGACAGCGCAAAATCGGCATATGAGCGTCTTCATAGCGTAGATTTCGATCTTTCCAAGCCACGATGTGATCGTACCAAGCCTAGCCTTTATTGGTTGGAAATCTCAAAGGAAAACCAAGACCACAAGGTCCCGATGACTACTAATCTGTGGTACGGTCGACCGAACAGAGTTCAAGTCGATTTTCCTGCGACTAAATTTAATCGATCGAGCAAAATGCAAGAGTTCTACATTCGCTGTGGTTTTAGTCTAGTTAGCGGCGAGGAAAGCGGATCGTTCTGCTAGAGTGAATCTGTTAGGCAAGCTTTTTTTGATTCTCTTTTTTCTAACGTTAGTTCGACCGATTTCATTAATATTACATGTAATATAAAATACGATTGAAAAGTGTTACTATCATTACATCACATTTGTGTGGAATTCGTTAAAACCATGTTTCGTGTGCATGTAAAATATTAAATTTGAATGATATTTAATAAACTGATAAAAAGATTGCACTAGAATATTTAGTAATAGAGTTCTTGAATCAACCTCTTTATATAATTTAACTTTTTGCTTATGTTTCTTATAATTAAGTATGAAAAATTGTTTTATGAAGCTTTTCCATTTAACTGAATAAAGCGGCATACGAGGGAGTTTATCATTTAGTTATGTACTTAAAAGAAAATAACATGTATGACTGAATTATCTGTATATTCATGTTTCAGCCGATTATTACTCTTGACATTCTGTATTAAATCATATTCACGGCAAAATCCATGCTTGAAAGTAAATTCAGTAATCATTAATCGACTTACATACCTTTTTCAATTCTTTATGAGTGACATATAATAATTTATAAGGAGTTTGACTGGTAATTTTCACATATTCAGCGAAGCACAAATTCAACACTTTTCACGTATTCATCTACTACCGGGGATCAATATTGCATCGTTCAAATTTAAAATTGCTTGCTTTCCGTGAAGAATTCTTCTACGAGGTTACCATCATTTTTAGCAACGTAAATGTTTAAAATCTGGTTTCCCAGAAATTTTTTTCTGTGACAGACAGGATGAAAATTGGGTGATTCTGCACGACGTATGAAGCCAAATTTGTTATTGGAAAGTGGTGCATGTACGAACAATAGGGATATTAATCTTAAAAAGATCAAAGTGCTAAGAATAAGAATATATACACGTGGTTAATGTTACATGATCTCCATTAACGTGTAATTTATATTGTATTTGGTATATTTGATGTGTATGTATTTTGTTCTTTGTTTTAATTTCTTTCTCAGGAAAGGATAATATAATTATCTGTATACGTTTATGATTTAAAGAGTAAAACTGCTGCTAAATGTATTTGTGAGAGAATTGATATTGGGAAAAAAATGGGGTGAAAACTTCACGAATAAAATGTACAAGATATAAAATTATTCTTGAATTGAATAACAGTATTTTAATAAAATGTATTTTTTAAGAGATTTTGGAAGCTTGAAAGAACTATACAGAGATAATAAGAAGCAAAGATTACCATATACGTCCATTCATTTCTATCTCTGAAAAAAATTACATTTTAAATTAATAAATTACATCGTATCTTTAGAATGGTTCTGCTTTATTCGGTTTGGAACAAATTTTCTTATTATACTGCAGATTAAACAATTTTTATATAATTTAAAAAATTTTCCTCGTATAAAAACGAAGTGCAACTGCTCAATTTTGAATTCGTAGCATTTAATAATACAAAATATATGTATACATGTAAGATGGTTTCTTTTCCTTCGAGATTTTTGTCGATACGATTATTTATAAAAAAAATGTAAATTCATAATTTTTCTACTATTTTTCGTACATGTATGTATGTATAAAAATAATTCTTTATAAAATTGTAATTTTTTATCTACTGGTCACTTTTACCAGTTATTTCCGATCAGTAATCTAGTAGTATAGGCATTTTCTGTTAATCCTCTGATATTTCTTTTTCTGTTACGATGTATTCGAATGGAGTACAGATTTGGATAGGAGTCTACGTTGTCGGACAGATCGTTGAAAGAGATGGCGAACATGGAACTGTTGTAGGTACGCATATAGAGCTTGCTTCTATACCGAACTTAAACTAGTACCAGCTTCGAACTTCCACCGAGTATACCCAGAATTCTATACTTCCTAATTGTAATTACAATTTCCACTTTATAAACTTGTCACAAAAGATTCATTAATTACCACATCTTTCAATGATACTATGTTTAATTAGTTAGCGTAAACAATGCTTTAAACATTAATCTCTAAGAAACACTGGAAGGCGAATATTTCCGTCATGTGTAGAAAATTCGAATCAGACGATCCATGCTGATCGCAATTTCGTTTCGCGAACGTAATTTCCGCTTTGGAGATGGACGGTTCCGGTATTACGAATCAGCCAAAATGTTCGTTACGAGAGTGTAATTTCGATTTTAAGCGCACGATCTGTTATAAGGAATTGCCTTAGATATTTCTCTAAATGATATTTTCCGCTTTGTTCCGTGAACATTCACTTTTGCAGGCAGACTTGACAATTTTTCAGCTTCACGGAACCTCGGAACAAAGCGTAGTCGTACATATTAATAAAATCACAGCCGAAATCCGAAGGATCACGAATACAGTGGCCACGAAAGTACTCGAACACTTACCACAGAATTCTTTTACGAATGCGCTCTGTGCATTGTAAGAAATTTTTTTTAAATTTCGTTAGCATTGTAACGAGACTCGACCATCGGGATTATAATGGGAAAATTTATAATCAATGAATCATTGAAAATATATATATGTAGAAGTTACAGGACATTTATCGCATACATACATGTAGCGAGAAATTAGTATATTAGAACATTTTCGTGAGTAGTACATGTCATCCGATCATCGTGATACTTTAAAATCTAAAATTTCTCGCGATTTTCTCACGTTATAAGCAATTTTTGACAGTTCAAAGATATTCTGCCTTATGTCTTCATATATACATATTTCTGTTTTTACTGCCATGTCCTGGAAAGTTGCTCGATACTGGGATTGCTATTTCCGGATATGAGGATAGAAACACCATGAAAAGAGGTACGTGCACTTATGTAGACACGGTGCAGACATCGGATATATACCTCCGTATCTCGCTATACCAAGTTGGATTCAAGTTTTATGCAAGGTATCGAGAGATCGCTGAAACTCAAAGGCCGGTATAGAAAGTATCGAAACGAATCGACCAGGCTTTATGTAACCTAGAACACACATACCCTGGCGATTGGATGTGTGCAGTATATTTATGATGAATTCATCGATCGATGGCCACAGATTCTGCTGTTGACTGTTTCGAATCTCACGTTCTATGTCAAGTATTGTCCTTGTACGACTGTCTCGAATAAAAAGCCCGGGTAATTTATTGACGTCACTTTTGATGCCTCGTCTACCGTAGACTACGATATTTGCAACACTTAAAGCGCCTGAAGTAAGGAACTATAATTCACATTATTCTTCATACATATAGTACGTATGTGTAAATTGAAAGCTAAAATAGAATTATTGATACGAAACACTTTTGTACTGTAGTTGTACTTCCCTATCGCGTTATTATTCCGTGAAAGTAATTTTAACAAAAACACAAACTGTGGAAACGAAATTCATTTGGCAATTTTGCAGTTCTATTTCTGCGAAATTAATATAAAATTGAACTTTTCTCCAAAAGGAAGTTTTATTCAATCGAATAAAATAGACCGTTGGGACAAGAATCACATTCGCTGTCTGTATCAAATATATGAAAATACTACATTCAATTTAAAAATAAATATCAACTTTCAAGAATACATATAATATTTACGCATTTTCCGTTGTACGTAGCGTCGGTGATTGAATTTTTCTGACATTTTGTTTCATTATTGTTATTCGCAGAATATCCATGTCAATGACACGAATTTAAAGCGGGCGGCGAAAGTTCGCGTGACGGGTAAAACGTTGGCCGCTAATCGAAGAAGATTTTGTGCAAATTTATGCGCATAAACGTGGCCACCGGTATTCATCGTAGTCCGAAAAGACTTCCCTATTGTTTCTAGTTAATCGTCCGAGGTCAGGGACAGGCTAACGCTTATTTTCAATTCTTTGTTTTGGGCTCGTTAATTAAAAGTTTAATTAAAGCCACGTCAATTAATCAGAATTCTGTTTCGACCCATTCCCGTGTACTTCGTCACGGAAGAGCAGAACAAAAAAGATGGAGAGTAGCTCGCGATAACTGGCAGTTGCCTGTTGGCCTGCTGCTATACGTTCGTTGCTGTTATGTGACCAAACGGGCAATTAAAAAGTCATCTCGGCTAGAAAATTTGTTGTATAATAGCAGTTGAACGAAGTTGCGATGAAGTGAATCTATTACTTGAAAAAGTCACGCTTCACCGGTCTAAATTCATCGGTAATGTCCATCGACTGCATGATTTTGTCATCGATGCGCATCTGTGTTATGTTTGATAGTCAAACAAAATTCTCCATGGTTTTTGATTTGATGATTTTATTTCACTTTCAATCGAGTATTTGTTAGTTACGATTTGATTTGTTCATTTTGTACGGCGAATTGGTCGAGACTGTTGAGAGTGTATGATCCATTAATAACTGCTTCTATTTGCGAAGTTAGTTTTTCAAAGAGGTTTCAATTATTAAAAGATACTTGAAAATTGAAAAAAATATAATTTCACTATATAATGATATTCCTTAAGGGCCTTAGCTTGCAGGGTTATGACGATTTAATTATCTGATTAATTTAAAGGGACTGAATAATTATCTTTTTTTCATTTCGATACGATCGAGAAGCGATTAAAACGACTGCGACCTGGAATTATAGGTGAACGTCTCAAGCGAAAACTCAATCAGCAATAATTATGGCAGCGTGTACATAGGGCAATATTAGCAAGTTCACTACCCTTCGTAGCTCCGCAATACGCTTAATCGAATTGCCTTTGGTAACGTAAAGTAACGAAGCCGAAAGGGTTATCTAGAGTGTGACCTCATTAATACGTTGCTCTCCTAAGAAGTTAGATGTATTCCGAACGCAAATAAATTTCACCAACTACTAGAGTCCTGAAGAGAAGTTTCTTTGGAATTGTTTTATAGTGCCCCATGGACTTCAACGCTTTCTCTTTCTCCCTTCGTCTTTTCGTTTCTTCGTTTCCCGCCCTTTCTCTTTTGCTCTTGAACAGAAGAGAATATTCGTCGCGTTCCTCGCTTTACGTTTTTTATCCCTCGCTTAAACGTTATATTTCGCTTGCTAAAAATTCAAGTGATCGGTCACCGATAAATTGAATTTTATTAACGGGTGAAAAAAAAAACGGACCGCGTTCAACACTCGATACTTGATATAAGTCCCTCAATTAATCATTTAACGATTGTTTTGAAACGTGAACATTGAATTTTTAACAACTTTGAGTGTTTCCATATGTTGCTCAATTAAATTCCCCTGAATATCT